CACCCTGTGCAAATAGAGGTCTCTGGTTTTTTAACACATAGAGCAAATTCTCTTTGAAGATTCAAAGTTTGGGAGCAATTTTCAAACAAGTGTGTGGCCCCTCATTTGTCCAAGTTGAATGGCCTGGGCACATTGTCCACCGAGTCGGTGAGTAGCATGGTTCTCCCTCTCTGCACGCCAGGACTTCCTCTCCAGAGGATGGGTTAGAGTTTGGTCTTTTGCCTTCTTCTAGTGCAAAAATGGCTGCTTTTTGGTGTTTTTTTTGGCTGGAAATTCTCAAACTGTTGAAAGATAAGTTGGCGCTGTGCATTCTCAGATAGAGAAGTTGCACTTTTCGAAATTAATTTCAGCAAGACAAAAACTGATTTCTTCCAACAGCAAAATTCTGATGGAGTATTGATTATGATCACCAGTTTAGAACTTTTCTTTAGACCCTTCATTTTTTCGAATGGTCAAGTTTAAATTGGGGATTCCCCAATTATTTTGTTTGAATTCACAAATGTGACGACAGTCAGAATTTAGTATTTCTTGCAGTCAAGTGGAAATGCAATTTGACGGGAATGAATCCAGAAATAATTGTTTTATTTGAGTGACTTTTTCTTTTTAAATAGGAAATTTGGCGTAACTTTCCAAACTTTGAAGAAGTTACTGACAGTAATTTGCAAGTGAGCAGTACTCGGCTGCTTTCAATAATTGTTCTTTGTTTTACTTCATTTTGTACTTTTTTTCCGTTTGAGATTTGAAACTTCAATGTATCACAGTTGTGCTTTAAATGGATAGGGGATAGATGTAGTGACTATCTTGCGACTTTTACATTCATTCTAATGTGGTTCACACTCTGGTGAAACATTCAGACTCGTTAGAGTGAATGACACTGAACGAGCCGATTTGAATGTCTTTTGAGCAACAAGCAGAGATGATGTACTAGTACATGTGTACCGACAAATGTTATCCGCATGAAATAGTGCTAGAGATAATTGACTAGAAATCCTACAATGAAAAACATCAGAGATAACTCACAAAAAGTAACCACTGATAAACGCTTCATTTTCATGGATCAAACACCACAATGGCAGAGGAACTCTTGAAATTTCAAGTGAAGACGTTTTACAGTAGATGCCAGGGATCTCTACATTAGCAATCTCAGGAATGATGGTCAGATACACAACATCCACAGTAACACTCGGTAAGAAACAGCCAGAATGACATCTCCTTTGTGGAAAGAGTAAACCAATTGTCAGAGTTCAGAGGATCCTTACCATGTTGAAGCCAACTTGGAGCATCCAAGACGATTGGGAAGTTCGTACATGTACCCTTCAACAACAGATCACAAGCCGATGCAGATGATGGGCAACTCGCCGGACCTGCTGGCGCCCGTGGGCGGGGGCGCAGGGACACGCACCAGGGGGAACCCTGGGCGTGTGGGGTTTACACCCCGGTATCATTACATTTTTCCTGTTGGTTTAAAAACATTAAATTTGTTCCGTTAGTCATTTGGCATGAAATATAATTTCAAATTATCAGCTCATCAACAGACGGTCCAAAGAATTTTTTTTTTTACTTGTTGAATCTATTCGAAACGGGAATGGTTTTAAACGCTCGCGCTTGTACAACATTGTTCTAAACCGAATGGTTAATCGTTTTGATTGGGTTTTTTCTCCAAATGATTTTGCTTTCTAAACTGTTCTAAACGCTTGTACATGTGTATGCAACAAGTTCTGAAATACATTGCGAATTACTTTGCTTTTTTGGATTTGGTTTGTGGGTTTTGTTTTTGATTTGAATTCGAGTAAGAGTTTTACATGACCTGAAATTTTGCTTTGGCCTTGTTGATGATCTGATGAAATCTATAATCATCACCGGCATAAAATTGGAAATGCCCACAAAAAAAAAAAATCAATTTCTGCCTTGCGCATGTCTTAAGATTGATCAATGAAAGTCAAAAAGAAAGCCAGAATAAAAAGTAGATTTCAATTTTGAACATGATTAAAGGAAATGAAAGAATTTGCATCTTTGAAAATATTCGCTGACTGATTTTTACGATTGATAGATTTTGTAGACTGAAAATGCGCGTCTATTTTTTTCACTGATTTGATAGATGTTTTGTGTAGGGCCGGTGATGATTATACTACAAACATTTCAAAATGCAGGATGCAAGATTGATAAGTCAAATTGGCAAAAACGGCATTTCTTTCACTAATGGATTTGTAGATACTCTTTAGCACTACTAAAATGTAAAAAGTCCTCAATTTTTCCAGCGAAACAGTAATTAACCGTTTGAAAGTTCCTCGTGAAGGTTTCGCAATCACATTGTCCAATCCTGTCCAAGGATATGCATGGCGTGAGACTCAACCAGCATTACAGTTCATAACTGGGAGATGTTCTGCAGATATACATGTAGATTCTGCCACTGGCGGTACGTAAGATGCAGTTTCTCAACAAGAGGTTCAACTTCTTTAACACTACTAAAATGTTGAAAGTCTTCAATTTTTCCAGCAGGAACAGTAATTGACTGTTAAGTTCCTCATGAAGGTTTCGCGATCACATTGTCCAATCCTGTTCAAGGATATACATGGCGTGAGACTCAAGCAGTGTTAAAGGTCATAACTGAGAGTAGTTCTGCAGATATACATGTAGATTCGGCCATTGCGAAACGTACCATGCAGTTGTTCAGCAAGAGGTTCAAGAAATCATGTCGAATGGTTCAGCTTACGAACCTTGAACATACATGTACGTTTCCGTAACATACAGTATTAAATGAAACCTTGTTTGATATGAAAGTAATGCCATTTTTAACCATCCACCACTCTACATGTAGGCTACGCAATGCACAATGCACGCTCAATGTTAAGGTCGTTTTGGAAAAGAGACAAATGTTCCTTTCTGCCATGACAGTTTGAAAATAATTTTCTAGCATGCAACGCAGATACAAAAATGGCGCTTTTTGGGCTGTTTTTGTTTCACTTTTTGCCAGAAGTTTCTTTTCATGTGTTATTCCTAGTTCTATATATCACTTATTTTTAAGTGTATACGAGTATAAATATCTTTTCCTTGTGTCCAAATTCTACTCTGCCAATTGAGATTGCTTTTTCAAAAGTTAAAATGTTTAAGATCAATCACTGAGCATTTTTTGTGGTGGATGGTCTTACCAATCTTGCAGCCAGTAACGGAACAAAAAAACCAACAGGCATTATCTAAACAAGTCAATCAGCCCTCACAAGAGCAAAGAGTTTGTCTTTCGAAAATGAAATGTTTGTCTTCCGATAATTGTCTGTTGCTTTGACCACATCGAATGTGGAATTCAAACAACAGTTTTTATCTAGTCTTTTCAGCATCATGTCCAGCAATATGTCCAATTGTTCCACAGTTTGATCGCAGCAAAATCACGAGTCCAGTTGGAAGCTGATGCCGTGTTAGATGAAACTCTGCCGTGATATCCAGGTAGCTTCATCAGTTGACCACATCATGAAGTTCTGAAGTGACATGGGTTGACCGCACAAAGTGCATGTAGCTCTGAAGTAGCATGCGGAGCCTGAAGTACACGCATTTATCTGCGATCTTCTTCCTCTCGACGTTCGGGTCCAACTGCACAGCACACTGGGAGTTCCTCAGTTGTCGATGATCAGCCTCCAAAAGAAAAACGCTCCGCCTCATTGGAATGATGACACACTGACTACCGGTAGGTTAATGTGATGCCCGTTGTCATCCTGGCTGTATTTGTTGTGTACAGCTGAAGTCTCCGCACACAGTCGAGCAGCCAACCACAGGGATTTCGAGGATTTCGCAGGTTAGGTGGACAGAGAGGCAGCAAAACATTGCAGTACATCTCTGCCGCTTGATGTAGGAAGAGACTGATCTTTGCCCAGTTGTAGTGTAAAAGTACCAATGAATCTGTACAAATGAAATGAAGAAATAAATCATGGGATTAGCACGTGAGAAGCAAAACATGGACAAAATGTAAGCTATGTGATCTGTGAACAATGTACAAGTTCAAAAGGCAGTTTACCACATTGTACTTCTCATACAAAACAAACACTGAAATTCCATTAAAATTAAAGCCAAAGTATGGGAAGTGCTCCAAAACAAGTCAAAATTAACAACGGGTTAGGTATTTGTCGAAAGAGGCAAGTTTCATTGTAATATGGGAAAGCAGTCCATGTTGAATGCGCACACCCTTTGCTCTAGATAGACCGTTTCATCAAAAGGCTTGTGGTTGTTCCACTGTATAATGGTCTTTGTTGGTCTCAGTGGAATGGTAGAACGGTCCAGTGTGGTACCATACCATCTTTTAAGTTGTTCCTAAGTTACAGGAGATCATTCACTTGCAGGGAGCAGGCCCATGATTTGGCGAGATTTTTTAGATTTGGCACAGATTTTATTACACGTGTAAATTCATATGTTAAACACTAATTTATAATCCGAGCGAACACTATTCTAGGATCTCAATTTCAATTCGCAAGTTGCTGAGTTCTGTTTTGAATTGCGCCAGGAATCAGCGTCCAGGACATGTTCTCATTCAGCCGATTGCAGCTATGCGATGTCACACACCAAACTGCGTTTTCGTTGTGTCAACGACTGCACGCACCCATTCATGGATTCGCCGAGTTACAAACCAACTACTAATGGAAATTTCCAAAATTGTGTTGCTTGACACATCTTTAGAATGGCCTTCTTTTATTGTTTTCTTCAATATGACAGCATGCCAGGAACAATATCACAGGGAGTTTAGTGCCATTACCATCTTTAAACCAAGTAAGCTTTTCAACAATAGTTTTTTCAGTTACTTTTTGGATACTGTAGCTGCAAGTAATCTACTCTACTGTTAATCCCACGTCATTAAGTCAAGTGGCAAGCGAATCAAATTATTTGCGACCAAGGCAATACTTTGTTGATGTCCATCCTCTGCGATTGTATGATCTTTTTTGTGACGTAACTTGTGATGGACTGGACGGCAACTACATGAACAATTACACATTTGTGTTCATACTAACCTCATCTTACTCGTAGACTTTCCAATCTGAGGTGGTACCGAAATTGTCACCATGGTCTACATCTGTGTAAAGGAAGACCATGCTGCAAATCGCACGTGAGATCATCAGTCGGAAATCTGGAGTGATATTGTCAGTCCATCGCAGGCTGCGTTGTACGGTGGTCGGGTCCTTCGCCAGAAGCTGAGTCGAGCTCTGCTGGCGAGACTGGACATCCAATGATGCAGGAAGGAGTTGAGGGGATAGGCTGAGAGATGCTCGTACACTGTAGCTGGCTGTTCATCAAGCAGAAAGTTTGTTCTCCATCTAAAACAAGGCCACTGCAAAATAAAAGGTTGTACAACATGAATATTACAGCCGTTTGTACGTTTCAATTTCATCGTGTCCGTGCAACAAGGTTGTATCTCCTAAAATGGTGCAGGGTTCGACTTTAGCGGTGGTCCGCTGGCCAAATGCCAGTTGAATTGCCGGTGGACCAGCTGCACACCTTGCCAAGTGGTCCGGCTGGCCAGCCAAAAAAATCGGCAAGGGCATCACAGATCAAAAATGCTCTACGCAACCGTGAACTCGGTATGGAATTTCAATACATTGTCAATTACGGTTGACAGATAAGACGCAATTGTTAAGCTCGACTAGAAAACCTGATACTTCGGCAGCTGCAATACCACAAAGGACTTTGTACATGTAGTTCTGCTAACGCCGCCGTGTTTGCGGTTTTCTTTGTGTGTAAAGTGTGTTCACGGAAAGTTCAAACAATGTTTTACACATGGGAATGTTTTGATGGTCGTGACAAAAAACTGGTCTGATAATTGTTTCTCCGTGATTGTTTTAGAGATTTGAAATCTACAGCATCATGAAAAAACGTGTCAATCATATCTATGACCGCCAAAACTTACAGGCTTCAGTCATGGAGCAAGATTCCGTGCTATATGCGTGCGAGGTGCACATGCAAATGGAAGGGACTCGCCTGGATTCACATGCGATGCTGAGCCGTCCGATGCAGGATATTGAGAGAGAAAAATATTTCAAAGAAAGCGCAATAAAAAAGCTATGATTTCTCATCGTGGGGAAAACTCTTGTCCGATCTACCGTAAAGCGTACACTTACATGTAACTTTGTTTACGAAAGCCCCCGAATACACCTGCGTCATGTGCGTGGCTGTACATGTCAGTGCATGATACGCATACCCGCGGTTCCACACTGGTTCCGTACAGAGTTGGGTTGAAACACGTGCTTTTCCCCACACACTGCATTCATCGATCTAAAAACACCCTTTTAAAAGAATCTGAACGGCCATTTAAAACCGCGCTCAGAACATTTTGTTTCATTCATGTTTTTTGTACGATTGGTCTGTTGATTATTCATCGGTACCGACGTGCAAAGGGAAGGGACTCGCATGAATCATACGATGAGCCGTCCAGATAAAAATCGAGAAAAGAAAATACTCCAAAAGAAAGCATAATATCAAGCCATGATTTCTCATCGTGGGAAAAAAACCCGTGTGATCACGTTACAAAAGCCCCCCTACGCCCATCCTGCTGAGTCCACAAGCACACGTCGTGACATGTGTTTTTTCCCACGTACTGCATGGATCGAGCTGATTGGCCATCTAAAACGGCGCTCAAAACATTTCCCGTTCATGTTTTAGTACGATTGGTCCGTTCGTTATGAAGGTCGCGGCACCGACAACTTCATACTACAGCCTCCACAATTGCGCATGCCTAACATGTGATGATTATTAGAATGACCAATTACGTGAGGAGTGCGATTATTTTTATAGGAGTCCGATTTTCACATGACACCGGCGCAGCACGAAGGAGTCGCTGGTGGCCGGCATAAATTGCATGAGCTTTTAATATTAAATTGCTCACAATGGATACCAACTGAAAAGCATACGTTCGCTAGGATCGTCGCGTGGTCGGCCTAGCCTAGGCCTCAGGCATCGGTCAACGATCTGCATTATTTTTAGAGGACCTTGTCATGTCAATGACTTACAAATTCGAACAATACAATACCACAAAAAGTAAGCTTTTCATTTTTAATAATCTGTAAGTCTAATTATGTGAAACTGATTAACTGGTGGGCACACGCTGTATAAGACGGACCAGTCAAAAACCTGGCGGACCAGTCAAAATTCTAGCCAACTGGTCCGGATAGATAGTCAAAAAAAAAGTTAAGGGCAAACCCTGTGGCGTGTGACGTCATGTACGTGAAACGCGAGTTTTTAATGTCAAAAGGTCGTATCTCGCTTACAATAACCCGCATGTACACACAAAGTCCATGGACGCCCCGATACGCGAGATACACCCTTGTTGCATGGTGCATATTTGCGGGAGATACGACTTGTTTGCAGAATCGAGTTACGACCTTGTTGCTCTGACATGACGATTTGTTGGTTTGTACAAGCAACATTTGCTGACTGCTGTGATGTGGAAACGTAGCTTGGGTGTTTTTTTTTTACAACTGAGGGACGTGTAACACAAAAAAGGTTACATGTAAGTGTTCTTTCAGCAAAACGAAAACAATTCACATGCATCCCAATGAGAATTGTTTGTGTTTTGCTGAAAGAACACGTACCTTTTTTGTGATCCGTGGAATGAACTTTAAAAGGGTGTTTGTGTTCAAAATGCCGTAACTTGAAAAGTACATGAGTGATTTGAATGATTCTTGTACTTACAGAAAGCTCACTGATTAGGCTTTCTTATCCTAGATTTTGAAAATGCTCCAGGCAAAACTTCATTCAAAACTGGTCCTGCCAGTTGGGATGCGTTTTTTTACTCACCCTGTACATGTGACAGGCTGCACACCTCATTACGTCTTTGTGACAAAAATCATAATGACCTGATGACAACACAATTCATATCTATCATCTACCACAAAAAAAGATCATCACACATGTACCAACCTTTTTTCTTAGACTGCAACCTCCTTGAACCTCCTCAGGAAACAACTGTAAACTGTCAGCTTGGAGGAAGCTTGGAGGAAGACTCCAAGTGTCCAGTTAAACTCAGGGGGAATAGTTCATCGATCGAAGATCCTGAGTGATACTGTCACGCCACAATAGTAAAAATCATGGAAAGGGTTCATCGGTCGAAGATCTTTAGTGATATTGTAAGTCCAGCGCAGAACGGGTTTGACTCCATTATCTAGGCCAACTGAGGGAAAAAGTTCATCAACTGAAAGCGTTCAGTGATATTGTCAAGCCAGAACAGAGTGAATCGACTCCATGTTCTCGAAAAACTTGTGGAAATGGTTCATCAGTCGAAGATCTTTAGTGATATTGTCAGTCCAGCACAGAACGGGTTGACTGCAACGTCTAGGCCAACTTACATGTAGGGCAATAGTTCATCAACTGAAAGCGTTCAGTGATAATGTCAAGCCAGAACAGAGTGAATCGACTCCATGTTCTCGAAAAACTTGTGGAAAAGGTGCATCGGTTGAAGATCTTTAGTGATATTGTCAGTCCAGCGCAGAACGGGTTGACTCCAACATCTAGGCCAACTTACATGTAGGGCAATAGTTCATCAACTGAAAGCGTTCAGTGATATTGTCAAGCCAGAACAGAGTGAATCGACTCCATGTTCTCGAAAAACTTGTGGAAAAGATGCGTCAGTAGAAGATCTTTAGTGATATTGTCAGTCCAGCGCAGAATGAGTTGACTGAATGATCGCGACTAACTTGAGCAAAGGATTTATCAATCAAAGTTCTTTGATATTGATAGTTCAACATACAGCAGCCTGAATCCATGTTGACAAAAACATGAAGAAGAGAATCATCGGCCGAAGATAAAGGATATTGTCAGTCTAGAACAGAGCAAGTTGACGCAAAGGTTACGACGAAATCATGGAACTGCTCTTTTTTTTAATCGAAGATCTTCAGTGATATTGTCAGTCCAGCACAGAATGGGTTGAGCCCACAGTTCCAACCAACGTATGGGAAGGATTTCCACAGCAGCAGCCAAACGGTGAACGCTGATCGCCTGGGCATGTTCAAAGATGAGGCTGAGAAGTTGCAAGATGAAGTTGGGATGGGTAGTAGAAGCGAAGAAGTGGAATGGCAAATCCATAACCTAAAAGGACAAATAAGTATGAAACAAATGAGAATCTCTTCTGATTATTCACAGATAGAGTGAATTTTTTTCTCAAGTTTGGACGTCATTGGATGCTCTGCCTAGGAGTAGGTGACTCGGGTGTTAAAAGTAATAGACAACATTTGCAAACATCCCAAAATGTCGTTCAAAAAAGAGACAAATTTGAAATTACTATCATTTCCTCATGGTGGTTAAGACCAAACCCTCGTGAGAGAAACAGCTTTTTTTCCTTCAAATAATGCTCCCAAAAATAGAACCGAATTTAGTTTAATCTGCGATTGGTCACATGTCCGGATTGAGAATTATTTTCCCAAGTGAAAAACTGTGATCACGCCACAAGAGGGTGCAAGTCAAAATGTATTAATTAATTAACGTTATGAAAGAGAGGGTTTTCAATGGTAAACTTTGTGTTGAGAAAAATAAAGATGCATTTTCACAGTTTGCTGAAAAAGTTTGTCTGCTGAGCTGAAATTTGGACAGGTTAAGTTTTTTAATAACCTGTTTTTGGATTTATTGTATTGTTGTTCCTTGATTTGGCAAAAATATGGGTTTTTTTGCAAATGGTGTCCATTGTCTCTAATAGACAATGTCCCACATCAGAATCTCACCTCCAGTTTTACAGGCAAAAATTGCTATACAAGTCGTCACCGACACCACAAACTGACACTCAGTTGCACGTGAGTGCGCGGCACGCACCCGTATTTTACAGAACCGACTTATTTTGGTTTTCACGAACGGACACCCTGTACAGTGCGGCACTTTTAGCGCGCACTCCGTACATTTTCACGAACTGACACTGATCTAAATTTCACCAGTTAAAACGGTATTTAATTACATTTTTGTGTAAGCCCGCAAGTATATGGATGGATTAAATTCATGAGAAACCTTTCAAAGCATTTTTCTCCCTACTGAATTGCTGCAACATGCTTGGGTGTCAGTTCTTGAAAATGAAAATCATCCCATTTCGCATCGGTGTCTGATGTGCGGGCGCACTACCGGGTGTCAGTTCGTGAAACCGAAATTGTTGATAATGCGGTTTTCACGAACTGACACCCACTTGCGCTTGAGTGTCAGTTCGTGGTGCCGATGATGAAATGTTACAACTACCTAACATACATGTACATGTCTAGTAACAAGCTCATTTCATTTGAAATATGACTGCATCGCTTAGAGGTAGACAGGATCATTTGCTTTTTAACAACTAGTATGGTCAAGCTTCAGCTCAGCAGCAACTTCACATTTTCAGAAAACAAAAAAAGGCAAAATGTTTTGGGCCATGTAACTGGATTCCGTTGCTAGAAAACATAGAGAAGTTTGCCTACAGGCACCCTTTTTTGAAAACACCTTCAAGGCTTGTTTTCTTCAGAAAAAAACAACACCGTTCAGATGGAATAATTTCAAAGGGTATTTGATGCCAGTTCTATCTCCACTTTGAGCAAGGTTTCTGTCATCAAATCGGCAGGCACTCTTCCAGGTAATTGACCTATCGCCGTTTGCGAGTTAGCCACGCTTTTCAGACAACCACTACGTTGAGTTTTGTTTGTCTCAGATTTGGCGCGTTTCACGTCCACTGTGTATCATGTAATTGGACAATATTCCACAAGCTGCGTCGATGCGATTCTACTGCGATGGTTAATTGCAGATGATCCTATGTGGATTGGAAAAGAACAGGAAGCTGGCTCACATCTGTTCTCTATCAAAACTCTCATCTCTAATGGAAGAGACACATCTAAGGTAGTCAAGAAACTCCCATACTAAAAATAAGACATATCATGGGCGATCAGACACAATTGCATGTGGCAGTTACAACATCATCCATAACTGCCAATCACCATCGGTATATCTGTGGACTCACCTCAGACACGGCGATTCCTTCCTTCATGCCTCGGAGGCATACCAGGGGACTGAGTGCTCCGGGCAAGATTCCAATCATTCAAAGCCAGAAGTATGGGAGGGGTGAACAACTCCTGACAAAAATACAGGTGCGTGTTGTCCTCCATCTGCAGCCAGAGCTCGATGTGGTCGTGCATCTGGCTGTGTCGATGCCCGATGATGTCTTTATTCTAGTGCAGTGCTGCTGTCAGTGCGCTGCTGATGGCTTGCTGATGGCAGGGATGGTTCTTGAGTCGCAGTCTCAATGCAACCTGTGTCAGGAAGAATGTCAGAGTATAATTTGATCTTATCAATCTACATACAAACAAATCTTTGAATGATGTGTCAATTAACGTATGACACAAAATCAAAGAGACGAGTTTTGAAGGAAGCAGGGAGCTTTCTGCCAAAACAATCAGCATGACCCAAAGATAACAGCATTGCATGTCATTATAGTGTACTATAGACGACACACTGCATTGCGTCTTCAACACGCGATGCAACGGCACGACACGACGTCACAATGTCTCTGTTGCGTTGTGCCATCGCGTTGTGCCATTGAGTCATGCAATAGCGTCGCGCCATCGCTCCCTCTCCACTGCTTTTGTGCGCAGTCTGGCGTTGCGTCCTGCATTGCATCATGCCCTCGTGTTATATGGTCACGTCAGCCTTTACATCTCGCAGATTTTTGTGCCTGAATGCTGCTCCCTCTGTCGCCCCTGTCACGTCGTGCTTCGTGTCGTGCTTCGCGTTGTGCGTTGTGCCCTGCCGTCGCATTCACACAATTTTAATTTTACCCTTGTGCTTATAGAGGCGGACCTGTTTCATCTCGGCTCCGTCTCCCGTGTCAAATGCCTGAAACCTCAGGCCTAGTTTTTTTCCCTCGTTCATCCATGCTCTGTGTACATAAAATTTCATCATTGCGCCCTCTATGCAAGACCATCATGCAGGGCACCGTCAAGAGAGGACGCAGGCGACGCGGAAGAGCTGGTTGGACAACATGAATGAATGGACAAACATGACTATGTCTGAACTCCTAGTGCAGGTCACAGACAGACCAGCACGGCGGAGGACTTCAGCTTCTTCTGCCCTCAGGTCCCCCCAACGACAGCAACAGTCAAGGGAAACGTAACGTAACGTAACAAGCATTTAACAATGCTAAGCATGACACGACTCAGGCCACAAAAACACGACAAGACGCAGGACGCAAAGCACGACGCGAATGAAAAATGAACATGTACTTACCATCCCCTTTTTAACTGTAGGTCACAGGATGATATGTCAGGTTATAGGTGATCTTGCAGACGTGTTCCTGTTGTCATCATACATGGTGAACACCGTATTCTTTCTCTGCTCCCTCTATGCTGCAGAAGCCCAGTTTATGTACAATGTGTGTCTTGTGTATGTCCGTGACATCTCGTTGATATTGTCTGTTCATCACAGACTGAGTTAACTTGCACGGTGATAGCCTAACTGAATCAAAATACAGCCCTCCCAGATGTCAAAAGAAGCATGCTCCAACTTGACGTTTGCCATGCGGATGAGTGACTCGACTGAGCATGAAAACATTTCTTGGGGTTCTGTGGAATTGAAAGAAAAACAGTCAAATAATAATAGCAATAAATAATATTGGTGGGCTAGTTGTCCGTTCTTGCAGCAAGAATTTGAATTGTGAAAGACAGTGCTACAACGTGGTCGAGCCCAAGGCAAATGGAGCACAGCCAGATCAAAAGGCTGACTTGTAGAATGCGTCACTGCAAAATGACCACCAGCCTATGAGACTTTTTCACTACATGTCATGTTGTTCTTTTCTGTACTGTGATTTTTGACAGAATTGTTTCTAATTGTAATCTTGCCAAGAAACATTCATGTTGGAATTTTATCTTGGTGTTCCTCGAGAAAAAAATTATGGGAAATCGTTTGTACACACAAGTGCATTTCGAACTATGATACGGAGTTGGGAACTAGGGCAGCTATCAGCGGAAACCAGTTCAAGCTGGTTCCCGACTCCGTATCATTGTTCGAAATGCTATCAATGTTTGAAACGATATCCAGTCTACTCATTATCATAATCGATGCATCGCGCTCGGTAACGGAATCGCGCTGGACCATCGAATGAATGCTGGGCACGTACGTCCACATCGCGTTGTTCAGTTCAAACACGAATCGGAAATTTAGCGTGTTCACGGTCGCGAGGGGAGCTCTCAGAATTGAATGAAAAATTTCAAAATTTCATCCTAGTCGTAAGCAAACTCATCGATCTCTCCTGTACCTCAGGTGTCGTATCTAGTAATTTGGAGGCCGTTTTGAGGGAAATCTGATGTTTTTGTTGGCCAATGGTTTTTTTATGGTCAACAGCAGAATAGTGTCGCGTGACGTTTTCTCATGGTTTCTGGAGAATCGCCACCAAAATCACCAAAAAATTTAATTTTGTAGTCTTCGTTGTTCTGTTTGAGGTCGATTATTAGCTTTATGAATGTCTGCTGCATCGTTAGACCCGTGAACGTGGCTTGTAAACTACGCCACGCTCTTGTACGTGTTCGAACCAAGCGAAATCGTCCTTCCGTGACAAAGACTGTACATTGCCTTACAGTGCGATAAGTATTCACATATCAAGCTTTCTTGAACATGTTGAAATCTGCTTTTACGCCAAATCTGGCATTTAAACGATATTCGAGGTAAAATATGGCAAGATCTCGACGTCCTGTAACCTCCTCTTGATGCATGTGATTCCAAGTGCGATTCCAAATTATTAGCTGTGTTTATCACATGGTCTCGTTATTGGCCAATCAGACGCCGCCTATCATATGCGCCACATGAAGCAGACGGGTAGCTCGGAGGGCTCCGATAATTTTGCACGCAAATGACCCTTGGTACTCGTCCAGGGTCATTTGTCAGGGTCACTTGTCAGGTTAAAATCTAATTTCTACACGTTCGTATGGGTCTTCATTGATGGCAAATTTCGTCGAAATGACACATCCTGAACACGCGGACAGGCAAATTTAGATTTCTAGGTGAGTACTCAACATCCATACGAAATTATGTATGGCGGATCGATTTCGCTAGGTTCGAAAATACACAACAGCATGTTGTTGTATACAGCGCCACGTTCACGGGTCTTACTGCACCGTATGAGGTATGAATTATGTAGCTATATTAGACCATTTTTAATTTTTTTTTAAATTTCAACCCCCAACTTCTGGGTCATTCAAACAAAAATGGCGATCGTGTGTTGGACCATGAAAAATCAAAGCTCTGAAATACTCATCAAAAGTCACTTTTTTACGTCCGAAATATAAGAAAATCTTACAGTGACATAATTTTGATAACATTTCATGCAAGTTTGGAAAGATTGGGGGCAAAAAAAACTGAAAGGTGAGTGTTCTGTAACGATTTAAACTTTGGTAATTTTACGTGTGACCAGAATAGTTTTTTTATGTCAATATTGCGAACCCGCTGCGATAGCTAAATTATGGAATTTGGGTCGGGATAATATAGGGAAAATTGACCGTTTTTGTAATACACTGGGGATACACAGTCCGGGATTTCGGGATTCTCACGACCCGGTTCTTGTAACGTAGTTGTGACTCCAGCTCTAATGTGCATGCGATAAGCATTAGACTCGAGCTAGACCCGTGAACGTGGCTTGTAAACTACGCCACGCTCTTGTACGTGTTCGAACCAAGCGAAATCGTCCTTCCTTTTGCATATCTAGTAATTTGGAGGCCGTTTTGAAGGTGAAATCTGATGTTTTTTGTTGGAAAATGTTGATTTGGGACAGTGACAGGATGCGGTTGTCCAGGTCGCGGCATTAGCTTGGACCCCACTATCGCCAGACCATGTCCAAAATGTTAAAAAAAGGCGATAAGTTGGGTCCAAGTTACTCGGACTATAATAATACGTGCTCCGATCCGCGCCGCGCCGTATGACAGTATGGGCTTTGAACACACCCAAGGAGCACGTATCATTACACAAAACAGTCGTGGATAAAGCGCGACTTGTTTTTCTTCAATCGAGCAACGACGGTGACGTCACGTCAGACGCCCTCATTCGACAAGTCGATTCAAGAACTGAGCCTCCCTGCAAACACATTGAGCTGTAAGTTTTCAGACTATTTTGCTGTTTTTTTTCAAATTTTGCGCTGTTTGGGAACAATATAAGGGGTCTCATGGAATCCAGGATAACTGTCTCTCTCATTTGTATTCTCTTTACCGTTTTTTTTTTGGGTCTTTTTGTCCTCGCGTGGGTTTGTGACTATGCTACTGTGACGGTGTCACCAAAGTATGGCAAATCGGTGGAGCGTTTGTGTGGAGGGGTAGCCTACACGTAATTCAACGCTCCACTCAGTAGAGCTAGGTCAGTAATAGCCCCATAAATGTGGCCTATTTACTGGACTGCCTCCGTAAACATAGGCCACACATCCACATGTACAAAAATCGTGTCAACTTTGCCAAATTTTAATTTTCACATTTAGGCTTAGTTTGTAGGATTTTTTTGCTTTAGAAGCATACTCACCCTCTTTATAGGCTAGTCAGAAAGTGCTGCCTTTATCAGATGTCTAATTTTTGTGAAATTTCAAGTTGAAATTTTGATACGCAAACGTGTAAAAAAGAATCTGGAAATTTCACGAAAAATATACATCTGAAAAAGGCAGCACTTTCTGATTAGCCTATATAGAGGGTGAGAATGCTTCTAAAGCAAAAAAATCCTACAAAGTAAGCCTAAATGTGAAAATCAAAATTTGGCAAAGTCGACACGATTTTTGTACATGTGGATATGTGTGGCCTATGTTTACGGAGGCAGTCCAGTCATGCCAGTAAATAGGCCACATTTATGGGGCTAGGTCAGTAATGGAGTATGACTATATTATGAGAGCATGTTTCCTCAGCTTGAAGAGTTTGGGGAGCGACACAACTTTTCTAAGAATAACAAAAAACCGAGGTGTCCTTAACTACACAAAACCTAAACTAGTTTTCGATGTTTACATTTTACATGCATGCCACATTGACTCATGACTGTCCGGAAACTGGTCAAGCCAAATGTGCTAACTTCAAGTGACATTTATTGAATACAAGTATCACCTGGCCACATAATATCAACCTTCAAGTATCTTCAAATTATACTCACCACTCTAAGATAGATGTTGTTGGTCTCATTAAACTGCATAATTATTAATAAAATATTAAAAAATTATAGTAAGGAATTAAAGTTACCGCTACGACAACACGCTTCACAAATTTCTCGCTGGTACTCGTTGCATTGCCAGCCACGCGTCGATATGGTTACCAGTTATATTTTTCGGTGTTGCAAACTAATTTAGCATCCCAAATAAGGAACGTAATTCAACCTTTTTATTGAACTGTTTGTCTCATATCAAGAGTAAAAGTGCATTGAAAGATTACGTCAGGCCTGAAGTCAAGACAAAGCACTTCGAATTTTAAGTCGTCTGTCTCGCACGGTTTGGTGCTTAGTATTTTTGCCGCATTTTGCACCGTTTTTTTGACCAACCATTTTTATTAGCAACACCAAGGTCTTTAATCTGAGATCAAGGTTGATTACAATGCAAAAAAAGACATGAGTATCTGAAACCTTACGAGAACGAGGTCGCAAAACTTTCTGGCAATCGTCTCGTCTGCTGAGCTCAGAGAAAAACTTGTGTTTTAAAAGTGTCGGTAATCCGGAAATTTGCTCAATGAAACAATTGTACAAAAATGGAAATTTTCTGCTCATTTAGAGGCATTCAGCTTTTTTTGTTTGCTTTTAAATGTACTTGTACGAGTTCTAGTTTTGGAGGTAGTCTGGTCCCCTCTTGCATCAAAGGGGAAGAGCAACGATATGACCAAGAACCAGTCTATTTGCCCAGCCGACAACGTGGACTAGTGCAATGAAAAATTGGAGCGCCAAAACTTGAACTTGACTTTTAACAAACTTTGCGACCTGCATACGGATCATATCAGCGGATAGAGGCTGTTAACTGCTGACGTCCACAGCCCCAACTGGGGGCGACCAAGGAATAAATATGGACAGATCTTGACTTGTTCTAAAAAAATAGGCGGCCGAAATACTTCGTCACGAACAAAACTTCAATTAGCCCATGCACGGGTACGGATGTCAGGGTTGGAGTATTGTGACGAGGACGGGCATGACGGGTCTCACTTCATGCCATACCGCAGTACTACTAGCTTTACTGGACTTTCTCCAACATAGATAGCTGGGTGCCTGGACTTTTTCATCCGAAAAAAAATGTAAGTAAATCGATATCATGATTACAATTATATTACTAGATTTTGTGGAGTTCGCAAGCGCAGTTACATAAATCACTAGGGCCTGTCTAGGGCTAGGCTTATGAACTTGGCATAGGCTAGCCTAGGCTAGGCAGTGCACTCTGACTTTTAAAATTTCCCCAAGTAGGCCTAATGCTACCAAAACATGGTCAAATATCGGTATTACTTAAATTGTTCAACATATTGGACAAAATGATGTTGGACCCATGGTCCTTCCTACATGTCCTCCATGGTCGGACGTTCAATGTACATGCCTTGCATGCATGTACATGTACTTGGGATACTTGTGAGCTCAATTTTGAAATTCTGCCTTTTTAGAATGTACTCTCCAGTTCAATGTTATGTATTTGTCAACATTTGGCCATTTCCGCCAAATATCATTCTTAAAAAGTTGCGTAGTCCCTCAGCAGGTCTTCTCGAAAGCCGTGTTCGTTCAATATTACTTGCGTACGTCCGCCTTTAAAATATAGAGGGCGCGCTTCAACACCACCGTTAAAAAACCGACCGTTGATCAAGTGTCAACTATAAAACCTCGAAGGAATACTCAAAAAGCCCATTGACGTGTGCACTTTTTGAAACGTAACTTTTGAGAGATTTGAGAGCTTGTCAGACCATAGAGAATTGAGGATGGCCAGACTCACAAAAACTGCGGAAGTTATGTGGACATTAGTTCGGTTATTATGGTGTCGTTAATACAAAATAATCTTTGTAAATTTTTCATTGGCTTAAAAGGACATTCAATCAAAGTACAAAATTTATTCCTGAATTTGAAATTGATGTGTAGTTCATGTATGTGATAATGTATTATTTTTTGTTTATTTATTTAAAATGTAATGTGTAATTTATCCTATTCATTGAAACCATGTGTAAAAGTCCAAGTAAATCATTACTCAATGTCCACCTTTTCACCCCTGGCATCTGGTTGGCATAGGCTCAAGCTTAATTCATCAACACAGAATAACACCGTGACAAAAAGGAGTTCAAAAGCTCTGACATACATTTTCACCAGCGGGGCGCTGGCTGAGCATGTACCGTTCGTTGAACCCTTCGCCTCCCCCTGGCTCCTCCAAATAAGGGTAGCCCCGCTGACCCCGTGATTGGAGCAAGTCCGTTTTAACTTGTGTACATTTTTTTAAGGTTGACCCAGATGCACGTACAGGATATGGACCGCTTCCCTCTGAGCACGTGTTTCTTGCCGAATAATTATGGCCATATCTCGGCGTGCTTGTACCCCTGAAAATAGATTTCCTGACTTTTTGTAATGACTGTCGTATTTTGTTTTTTAGACCTTTTTTTTTTGGCAAGAACGGGAACGGGGTCACAATGTCATGTGCACAAAGAAAAGAATAATTGAATGGAAGTAATTGGGGTCCATGACCCCCTTCATTTTTTTCTTAATGAACTACATTCCCTTTCCACGTGCGTACCCAACTAACCAATTTGACGTTTGATATTTTTTTGTCTTCCTCCAACTGGGCTTAAGGAAAGAGGCCCCTTTTATACCCCTTAGCTTACAATATTGTGATCTACCGGCCATTGCACTGTATTTTTTTAATGGGTAAACACCGTTGGGCAATGCTATGAGCATGAAGTTATCTCATTTTTGTGACAAGCTATTGGAAGAATTTGCCCAAGAGTGTCGGCAGTTGGTAACTGACCAACATCGGGCAAAATATCAACCCAGTCCCCAACATAATTTTACAATATAGCTGAAGTCTTATTATGAACTGAGGTGCCTATAGGAGCAACAGAAGTCACAGAGTTTACCTAATTTGAACACAAAGGTATTATCACTTAAATGCAAAGCAAACCGTCCCCAACCAAGTTCTCGAACATCCACACCCTCTGGCAGATCTTCATCATCAATCATTTTCTGGACACCTCCCCAGTCGCTCGTCTCGTCAGTCACGGATGCCATGCATCGGTGGCGTCACTTTGTTAGTCTTTGCCATGGGGCTTGATCCTCTAAATAATACAAATATATGACACTTCTATTAAAAACTACTCACAAATTTCAAGCTTCTGTCCCCCAAGGAAGATGTTACCTTATTTATTTTAAGTTTCTAAGAATACTAAAGCTAGGGCCGAAATTTTGGTCATGAAAGAACAGAACTTTCATTTTAAAGAGACTTTGTTCTGTGATTGATAAAACTATAAAAAAAAAAAAAAACGGTTCGTTGAGAACTGAATACCTTTCGAGGGGCGGATCCACGTTTGTCTCAAGATGGAGTTTGGCTTCCATGCATGCCAAGAGGGTTTTAGCAGGCATTTGCTGTGTTTTTCTACACTGATTGTCTTTTTTGTTTTCAAACACTGAGACGGGGGTTCAAATCCCCTAAACCCCTGTGGATATGCTTTCAGTTTCATAAGTGGGTCTCGGACGTGAACTTGGAGTCACGCCTAAGAACAGGTGACCCCCTAAAAGCTGACCGTCCGATCCGAAGGCGCCACGATGGGGGCAGGGGAGGGTTGCATAGACGGTCATCAACAAACTCTTGTCCCTTGGCTGATTTTCAAGCCACCGTGGCGCACGATGACTTCATTCTGAAGGTCAAGCCAATTAGGATTTGGAATGGGAAGATAAAATGAGTGCAATTTCCACAAAGCCCCGGCGATTGCACAAGCCGTGTCACAGTTCCATTTTTTGACCATCCAACAAACCGGGGATCTCTTGGGCTGTGACGTTTTCCTGGAAGTTGTCAATTTTGATTTCGATAAATTTCAGTCGGGCACTTATATTTATACACCAACCTGGTTGTGAGTAATAATGATGGTCAGGGATGGGAAAACGCGGTCTATAGGCCTTGCGATCGCAATTTCCTCTGAATCATGCAAAATGTACAACAGCCCTGCATAATTGCGCGCGTATTTGGGTTTGAAGACATCGGCACAATGGCACCTGTCTGTCAGCAGTTGGCACAGAGGTGGGGGTTGTGCCAAAGGTGCAAGCACTTTTCCGAACCCTGCGCACTGTCTGAGCGCGCGCGCCTACAAAACTCGCCGGAGGCGGCTCGGCGACGCCTCCGCGCGTCAGTCATCGAAACTACGGCTGATAAATGTAAAATTTAAAAACGTATGTAAAGTGTGTTGGCTACCGTTGACGGGTTTGTGAAAGCAGAATGCACATCAATTGTACCATTGGGTTCAGACTACTGAAACTGAATCGAAACTGGATCCAAATAGTACAAACTTTTCTGTCTTTGTGACTGATTTTGTTTTTAAAGGGCTCTTGTAATGTACTCTTTTTAGTGCCATCCTTGAAAATGCACCTTTGTGTCCCATAAACAACAACTTTTCAATTTTCATTTTGCCATTTTTAAGGGCATTTTGGTGCCTTTTTGGTTTGTATGCTAATACCAGTTTCCATATTCATGAGCAATAGTGTGATGTCATTTCAGGCAGAAACCTCAATGTCATAGCTATTGCAGCACCAAATTGCCAGATGTTGTGATATTTTGCTGTCGTAAATGTTTTTTTTCTGTGGAGATTCGTTGTTGTTTCAGAACATGACAGTAAGCCAATGAGCAAAGTTTTCTCACAAATGTTTTCAGTTAGCAAACTGTTGAAACCCAAAAGTGAACAGTCTGTGTCTTTCTGAAATGACATCATAGCAACAGCGCCCTCACTTGTCAGGAAAGCATGGAAAGTTTTTAAATGTTTAAAAAAGTGCACTTTTCAATAGAATTTATGCCAAAAAGGGATGTCAAATAGTTTTCATACATTTTTTGGGAAGAAAAAAGTCCCACCAAATATACTCCAAAGTGAGATACATGTCATGAGCCCTTTAAGTTCTACATGACCTGTTAGGCCTGTGGCCTTATAAACAACGTTAACTTAATAGTATAGGAATTAACGCTGTTAAGGAAGTTACAAAAGTTTTGACAAACTTTCAATATTGCACGGTGTATAGTGATTGGGTACACAAACAAGAGGTACAAACAATGCCAAG